TAGATTTGACTGGAATTCAAACTCTCTCACACACACACACACACACACACATACATATATATATATATATATATATATATATATATATATATATATAGGTTCACCCTGTACAAGTGTCTTGGGGCACTCGAGGTAGAGGGTTACGTTAAGGCGTAATTCATATGGGTAGAAGGGGAAGATGATGGTTAACTCTAGACTTGAACAGGTTAAGATCGGGGAGACATACTCTTAGGAGTCTGTTCCACAGTGGTTCACGGGAAGATGCTGTTCGATTGGAACTTAATTCTCGCTTGCCTACCGAACGCTCCTTTGTGGCCGAGACGGTAAGGCACGTTAGCGTAAATGACGGTTCCGTATAGGATGCAGGTTCGAATCCTGTCAAAGGACGAATATTTTCTATGAAAATTTCTCGGACATTCAGGCCGGTAAATGTTATTTAATACTGTTTATTATAAACAGAGCATTTATTTAAATACTTGTATCTATAAAAAAAGAACGTTAAACTTCAAAATGTCTTTAATATATATATATATATATATATATATATATATATATATATATATGTATTTGTAACACTTACCCGTACATTTATTTATATTTATTCATTTGATTATATATATATATATATATATATATATATATATATATATATATATATATACACACACACATATATATATATATATATGAAGAAATATACTCTTAAGTTGTGCTATATTTATGGGATACAGTGCTCAATATCAGAGATAGAACGTGTGTAAATATAAAAGTGAACATTGGAGTCAACACTTACAGGCGACAGGCTGTTTCATGCTAGAAAAGCCAAAGACAGTACAGTATTCGTAAACTTAAACATAGTTTATGGAACACCTAAGACGTGTCTCTCAGAGTTAAGATTGACATATACGTATCAGTCGTTCTCTCAGCCCTTCTCTGTGGTGCTGAAAGTTAGGCCCTGTACCGCATGCTTTTCAGTGTTCGTGCCATATGTGGTATAAAATGGGATGACAATACTGAAGAAATGTAGAAACATCACAGGCACTGGAACCATTCTAGCAAAGATACAACTTAAGTGGACTGGTCATGTTGTGAGAATGGATGAGCAGAGGCTTCCAAAAAAGGTGCTTTATGGACAACTACTAAACTGCTAGCGTTCAGTTGGACGTCCACTCTTACACCACAAAGACAAATTGAAAGACAATTTGAAACGTTTTAACATTGATCTGAAAACCTGGGAAGCCCAAGCATCAACCCGAAAAGAGTGGCGTAAGACATGTTTCTTTAAGTTAAAGCGTTTTGAAGGCAGTGGACTGAAGTACCGTGATCAGCTTCAAGTTCTGAAGCAGAGACGCCATCAAAATCCTGCTTCAACAAATTTCATTTGTCAGTGTGACTTTGTCGACCGCAGCAAAGCTGAGCTAGTCTCACACTTAAGCAAACACAAATGAAATATGTCTTTCCTTTACGTGATTTTCTCCACAATAGCCACTGCTAGCATGCATAACTGTAAAATGAAAGGCAGCATCCTATTTTGAATCTCATTTATCGTTCACGGCAGGAGAGTCCACCATATATATATATATATATATATATATATATATGTGTGTGTGTGTGTGTGTGTGTGTGTGTGCAAATATATAGAAAAATAGGAAAGAACACGTTAGGTAAATAATCCGAAGTTCTTTAGTATTTTTGTTTTTATTTAAAAAAAAACAGTGCTCAATACAAAAGTAGAGTCTAGATTATAATAATTTTTTTAAGAAATATGATTCCTTCGCTGCATAAGAGTTCTCATGTTTCAAAAACAGGAGCCAAAAACTAATTAATTATTAGAATTAAATTGAAAAAATTTCTATATTTAAGGAATAAACTAATTTTGAAATTTACGCGTCTTTATAAGCATATTCATTATTAAAATTAAATTACTATGGAAACGGCTGGAGCAATTGTTTAAATAAGGGCCGTAAGGGTTAAAAATTTGTATCAATATCTCAGTTACTTTCGGAAAGAGGTCAAGTCAAGGTAGGGCTGGTGTGTCTAAATTAAATAGGAAGATGGCATTTAAACTCATACCGTCTAGTCTGGTTCACCGTAAAGTGTCTATGGAGATTTATTTATTTTTTTATTTTATTTTTTTCTAAAAGGGTTGTATTGAGCTACAATGTGTTTTTTGATATATATATATATATATATATATATATATATATATATATATATATATATATATATATATACGGATGTAACAACAAAATTGTCCAAATTGTGTAACAGCATAATTGTCCATCTCTAAAACATTTCTCAAATAATTGAGTTTTCTTTCAGGATTTTAGAGAGGACGTTCAGCCATCTTATTTTATAAATCACTGAAAAACCCTTTGAACTTTTCCGCTAGAAAACAGAACAGGTTAAAATTGTTTTCTGACAGCCCCGCTGTCTTCCCAACTGAGCAATGTCAAGAGGAAAAAGATCATTCAGGCTTTCAGTAATGGTACCAAAATTCATACCCTAGCTTCCATCTTCAAAGTCCATTCAAGAACCTTCAAGAGAACGGGGAATAAGTTTTAAAAAGAGGGAACAGTAGAGAGGAAAAACTGTATCTGGATAATGAAGTCACGACAGCAAGAGGGATCATCATTTCAAGTTACAGCTAAAGAGGTCAATTAGAAAAGATCCAACTCAATCCATAAGACGTTTGGTATGTGAGAGAGGAGTTTCACTATGACAATCCAAAGAGTAGTGAAAAAAGACGTGAAATTTCTAAGGCATCTTGTTACTCCGGGACAGAAAGTTAGAAGGTTAGAGAGGGCGAAGATAATCTTGAATAAGTTTGAAAATTATCCTGGATTAATATATATATATATATATATTAATCAGGATATTCAATATATATATATATATATATATATATATATATATATATATATATATATATATATTTATTTGAACTTAATTTCAATCCTTCATAAACTTCCGATCCTTAGCTGTGATTAATGAATTATGAACATGTCATTTTCGTTTATGATCGAATTCATCACGATTCTTCTGTTAGGCTTGGAGAGTAATGATATATTGTTATTGTTCAAAGTAGAGTTCAGTAGTGTTATAAAAAGCTCAGAGAATTCCAGTAAGATATTATTAATCATTTCTAAGATACAACGGTTCAGATATTTTCTACCAGTTGGACAATTTTGGTGTTACATGATTTTGACAATTTTGGTGTTACACCGGGTATACTACTACTGTACTGATGCGGCATTCTCCCTGGGCGGATTGAGCCGGCTTCTTCCTGTTATGAGAAGACTCTTGGGATAAATTACAGAAGTAGGGTACCCAGGCCTACTCGGATAACGTTCTTGCTTGCCGCGGGGTTCCCATAGACGCAGAGACAGGAACGACCAGAAGCCGCCGGTTACCGATACAGACGCTCCTTGGATTTTCAGCAGAGCCCTTGTTAGCCGGCGTGTGTGTCAGACCTGTCCGCCTTGGGTGGCCCTACCAGGAACAAGTTCTGGGCGGCATAGCTCTGACACTACCGTTTACACCCCCCCGACTGTGAGGTAAGGGTTGGACTTTGGGGACTTACAGTACCAGGTGTTCCCAAGCGGTCCCCCATGTAAGTACTGACCTGATATATATATATATATATATATATATATATATATATATATATATATAGCCTTTTATATTATATCCTTACTCTGTCCTGGACATCATTGAGTTCTACCTGGATTCTCTCCTCTTGGGAATTTATATATATATATGAGTGTGCGTGTGTGTGTGCATGTTTGTGTTGGGGCTTTTTTTTCACTTTTAGCCTCTGTTTTACATTTTTTTTTGGCTCTTTTTTTATTTTTCTTCTTCCTTTCTATAGCTAAAAAAATTCTCCCCCCCTCCATCTTTTCTGCATCTTTTATTTTTGCTTTCATTTTCTTATTACTCAACGTAGTGTCCAATAGTGTTATAAAAACCTCACAGTATTCCAGTAAGATATTTTAATCATTTCTAAGATACCACGCTTCAAATCTTTATCTAATAATTGGACAATTTTGGTGTTACACCCGGTATACACACACACACACACACACACACACACACACACACACACACACACACACACACATATATATATATATATATATATATATATATATAATAAAAAACTTATTATATCCTTACTCTGTCCTGGACATTGAGTTCTACCTGGATTCTATCCTCTCGGAATTTTTTATTCAAAATATACATGTATGTGTATGCACCTATGTATATATATTTATATATTTTGCATATGTATGTGTATATTTACCACTAATATTATATATATATATATATATATATATAATAATTTATTTATTTCAAAAAAATTATAATTTATGTTATAAATTTAAAAAAAATTATAATTTATGTTATAAATTTAAAAAAAATTATAATTTATGTTATAAATTTAAAAAAAATTATAATTTATGTTATAAATTTTTTTAAAAACATAATTTATATCTGCTTTAAAAAAATTTATAATTTATGTTATAAATTTTTTAAATAATAGTATTTCTTCTCTATTTGAATTCATTCCTCTTTACAATAATCATTGTTCTTGGGTATATATATATATATATATATATATATATATATATATATATATATATATATATGTGTGTGTGTGTGTGTGTGCGTGTGAGTGCTGAGGCTTTTTTCTCTTTTAATCTCTCTTTTCTATTTTTTTCTGTCTTTTTGTAAAAAAAAATTTTCTTCTTCCTTTCTATATCTAAAAACTTTATTCCCCCCATCCATTTCTCTATCTTTTTCTTTTACTTTAATTTTCTTTCTTTTCTGGCTTTTGCCCGCCTCTATCTGTTCCATTTCCTCCTGTTTCTTCGTCTTTTCTTTTTTAAATTTCCCTATGACTAATCCAATAGTAGGCCCAGCTCCAGCCCCCACCCCCGCCCACTCGTGCCCAAATTAACGGCAACACCCTTGGACAGTTACAACGGACCTCGTCGCAAATGCAATCAGGATCCCTTTGCAAATCGTCTCATCTTTCTCAATCATCCAATCTCGTAAGGCGACATCCCTGCAACCTTGCCGACCCCTCAATGCCTTTGCCGTCCCATTTTGAAATGTAATCTTGTTTCCCTGCCCCAAATCATCTTCGACTCTCCCTCTCATCGTATGTTGACCTGACACCGGACGACACTTCCATGACCATCGAATGTTTTGCATCGTAATAGGCAGAACGAATTACACATAACGAAAGCAGAACGCAACAGATTTAATTTGGTCACGTTCTACGTTGACTTTTAGAAACGTATCATTCGTATTAGTATTATTAGTAGTTTTAGTATTCGTATCATTATTATTACTATTATTATTAATAAACTGATTGACACAACTCTTCCAATATTTTAAAACAGTCACAAGAAGAACGCGATTTAAGAAAAGAAAAAAGAGAAAAAAAAGTGTTTAACAATGTTAAACAATATTTCGACAGCATGTCTGCCTTCTTCAAGTCATATTTTTAAAAAAATTCATATATAAAAATATATAAATCTACAAAAAAGTATAAGTCTTTGTACAAACGTTGCTTGTCATGTAATGAAAGAAATGTCTGTACTGGTAATGAACGCGTCAAAGCCAATGAAACGTCGCCCGCGTGAAGTCCTGCAACTGAAACATGTTTAATATGATAGTAATTCTGTTCATCTTGGAATTTTCCGTTAGTTGATTATTTACTAACGGGATAATTCGTATACTAATTCGTATAAATCTTATGGAACTCTCCTGTCATTGCCCCATGGCCAGGATTAAGATCATTTTACATACATAAAGCCATTATTATTATTATTATTATTATTATTATTATTATTATTATTATTTTTTTTTGATTTCTGGCGTTTACATTTCTTTCCGGGTCCCGCTCAGGGACCTAAGGTTAAAATAGCGTCATGACTTTCCATTGACAAAAAAAAAAAAAAAAAAAAAAGATTACATAGATAAAGCCCTTCGTAAGGTGTGGGCTGTACTTGTCAGAACAATTTTCTGTATCTCCTTGAGGCATGGACTTCCAGGAATCCCTTCAATTAGTCTACTGGAATCTTTTCCAACCAGTTCTAGGACTCCAACTACAACAGGGATTGTTGATGTTCCCATATGCCACATTTTCGAGATTTCTATTTCAAGGTCCTTGTACTTTGACAACTTTTTGAATATCTTCAAAGATACATTGCAGTCGGCAGGGACTGCCATATCAATAAGGAGGCACCGTTTTTGTTTGTGGTCTTTAATAACAATATCTGGGCGGTTGGCCTTGATTGTTCTGTCAGTGTGTATTGTGTAGTCCCATAGAATTGTAACAGGTCCTATCTCCGTAACCGGGTCTGGGTTATTATTATTATTATTATTATTATTGTTGTTGTGTATGTTATGTTTCCTGCTTTGTGTCCTGCAGAGCCGGGTACGAACTATGGTCCTTAGGCCCTATATGAGAATTGTCTTTTAATTGATGGCACTTTTATTAGTACATAGGGTGTTCTTAGTAAGGCGATCTTCTGGGCAAATTATTATTATTATTATTATTATTATTATTACATATTATGTTTCCTGCTTTGTATCCTGTAGGGCCGTGTCCAAACTATGGTCCTTAGACCCTATACGAGAATTGTTTTTCAATTGATGGCACTTTTATTAGTGCATAGGATGTTCCTAGTAAGACGATCTTCTGGGCAAATTATTATTATTATTATTATTATTGTTGTATGTTATGTTTCCTGCTTTGTATCCTGTAGAGCCGGGTCCAACTTATGGTCCTTAGACCCTATAGGAGAATTGTCATTTAATTGATAGCACTTTTCTTAGTCTATGGGATGTTCCTAGAAGGGCGATCGTCTGGGCAACTTGGATGTTGATGTTACCTGGGACACTTAGTAAAATGGTCCATTCCTTTTCTCACGAGGCCCAGAGCTCAGATTACTATTGGTACAGTCTCAGTCTTCATTCCCCACATCCTGTTAATCTCGATCTTCACGTCCTTGTATTTGGACAATTTCGCGATAATTTTTATGGAGGTGTTTCTCTCAGATGGTACTGCTTATGTCAATAAGCATACACTTCCTGAATTTCATGTCCTTTATGATAATATCAGGTGTGTTGGCTTTTATTTGCCTGTCAGCTTGAATTAGCATGTCGCAAAAGATAGTTATATCGTTATTTTAGGTAACTGTGTCTGGTTAGTGATCATGCCATCTCTCAGTGGTTTCGATTTTGTGCTTCTTGTATATCTTCCAGTGCACATATGTCGCTAGCTTGTTATTATTATTATTATTATTGTAGTTGTTGCTGTTGTTGTTGTTGTTGTTATTGCAGCAGTTAAGAGCAAATTGCGATTTAAGAAAAGATAAAGAAAAGAAAAAACAAAGTGTTTGAAAATGTTAAGCAATATTTCGACAGACATGTCTGTCTTCTTCAAGTTCATTATTTACATTATTCGGACTATTGTCCTCATCTTTGTCGCCATATTTATTACAAAGTTTCGACCCTTGTACGCTCCGGCCTTCTTTAGGTGGTTGGAATTTCGAACTAAACCCTTTATTTCACTCACTGGGGTAGACTGTTCTAGTTCCACGTGACATGAGTAATGGATGTCAGTTATCAGTTATCTCCTGTTAATTCCCCTCTCAAAGTTCCCCAATGCCTTAACCGGGTATTGAACTCACACTCTTTGGGTCCTGTCACTGGATCTAACTAACGCCTTTATCCACTGTGCCATGTATCCTTGAGGACAATAGTCCGAATAATGTAAATAATGTACATAATACCTCATCTCAGAAATATAGACAGATAATTCTTCAAGTTATAGTTAAAAATTTACTTGAAGTATAAAATTATATACATTTACAAAAAATTATAAGTTATTGTGCAAACGTTACTTGTCTTGTAATGAAAATTTGCTGTCCTAGTAATGAAGCGTCAAAACGAATAATCAGCAAATATGCTATGCCACAAAAATCTCCTGAGCTGATCAAGTATAGAAATGAATACAATAAGGTGTGCCAGAGAAAAACAATAATAACAACGAAAATTGCAATATGAGCTCTGGTAAATTAACATGCAATGATAACAGCAAAAATTGCAATATGAGCACTGATAAAAAAAATGGTTGCTGAAGACATTAGGTTTATAATACCCAGAATTTCATACACAGATGTCCTCAAGGACACATGGCACAGTGGATAAAGGTGTTAGCTAGATCCAGTGACAGGACCCAAAGACCTTAAGTCAGAAATGGCACCATAACATTTTCCACTCTACAGTCTTGAAAAAAAAATCACATATTTTACATAGATAAAACCCTTCGTGAGGTGTGGGCTGTACTTGTGAGTCACAAGTTTTTGTATTTCTTTAAGTCATAGGCTACCAGGAATCACTTCGTATCTTTTCCAATCAATCCGTGGGCTCCATCTGCGGCTGGGATTATTGTTTTCCTCATTTGCCACATTTTTTAGATTATTATTATTATTTTATTTCCTTTGATTTCTGGTGTATACTCATTTCTTTCCGGGTCCCCACCAGAGACCCAAGGTCAGAAAACGCATCATGACATTTTCCACAGAGCATTTTTTTGAGGAAAATAAAAATAAAAAAAGACAAGAACCTAAGATGATACATATTTTATATAGATAAAGCTCTTCGTAATGTATGAGCTGTACTTGTATGTTAATTTTTGTATTTCTTTAAGGTATTGGTTACCAGGAATCCCTTCATTGAGTCAATCGGAATCTTTTTCAATCAATCCGATGGCCCAATTGGAATTGGAAGTATTGGTGTCTTCATATACCAATTCATATGACTATTCATATTTTCTTTCTTCTTTCTTTTACTTTTTTAATTTCTCTTTCGTTTCAAATTTCTTTTTTTATCTATATTTTTATTTCTTTTATTTTTTGTTTCTCTCTCTTTCTCTCTTTCTGTCTTTGATTTTTCTTCTTGCCTTTATTCTCTTTTTCATTCCTTTTTCTTTTTCACTTTTTCATTCATTTCTGTAAATTCTCCTATTTCTTTTCCTTTTCTCTAGGTTCAAGTCTAGAGTAAACCGTTTTCTTCCACAGGTATCTGGGCCTCTTACTCTTTACGCCTCTACCTCGGGTGGCTCTGGAACCTTTTGTTATAAAAAAAACTTCTTTCTTCTTTTTTTCTCTTTCTTCACTTCTGTTTTTATTTATTCTCTTGCGTTTCTTTTTTTCTCCCATATGATTTCTTTCCTTCCTTTTATTTTACATTTTTTTAAATAAATTCTTTATCTAATTTATTCTTTACATTTTCTTTGGTAGTTATTAATATTTTCTTTCTTTTTTTCATTTTTTTCTTTTTGCTTTTCATTTTTTTTAATTCTTTTATATGTAGTCTCTTTCGCTTTCTCTTTTTCCTTCCTTTCTTACCTTTTTTCTTTTACTACTTCCTTTTTCTTGTTTTAGATTTCTTTTTTCTTTCTTTCTTCCTTTTCTTCGATTTTCTATATATTTTTTTTCGGTTTCACTAGATTTCTCTTCTTCCTTTTATTTTTTAAAAAATTTTCATTCGTTTCATTAGTTATTCTTTCCTTAATTCATTCTTTAAATTTTCGCCTGAGAATCTGATAAATGTTCCTATTTTCTTTTCTTTCTTCTTTTTCGTTTCATTTTTCTTTTTATTTCTTTTATATGTTTACCCTTTCTTTCCTTTCTCTCTTCTAGTCTTTCTTTACTCTTTACTTTTTTCCCCCTGTTTTATCTTTTTTTTATTTTTAACTTGTATAATCCATTCTTTACATTTCACTATTTTCTCCCGTCCTGGGTAAGATTATAAACTACATCCGCTTCCTGGGTAAGACGATAAATTACGTCCGACAGCAAAGCCCCTGCTCAGAAGGTTATGAAGTGCATGGAACCACCGCTTAATTGCTGATGTTCCCAGGAACACCAGGACCAGGAGTGGTGGCACCTGTTATGGTCCCAGCTATGGGTGAAGAGTCAATCCTCAAACTGGGGTCTCATCACTATGAAAGTGTAAAAATGTTTTAATACCAGAAATACTTTGTAAAAAAAAAAATGTTTTACCAGCAATACATTTTGGAAAAAAAAAAAAAAACAACAATACATTTTAAAAAAAATACATTTTGAAAAAATTTTGAAAAAAAAAGATATTAACAATACATTTTTGAGAAAAAAATTTTTAGAAAAAAAAAAAAAAGATATTAACAGCAATACATTTTTGAAAAAAAAAAGATATTATCAGCAATACATTTTTGAGAAAAAAGATATTGTTAGCAATACATTTTTGAAAAAAAAGATATTATCAGCAATGCATTTTTGAAAAAAATATATTATCAGATATACATTTTTGAATAAAAAGATATTATCAGCAATACATTTTTGAAAAAAAAAAAGATATTATCAGATATACATTTTTGAAAAAAAAAGATATTACCAGCAATAAAATTTTGTCGGCATTAAATAACCCACTGATATCCCGTAAAACAAACCAAACCAATCACTATTTTATTTTTCTTTCTTTATTCTCTATTTCTTTACTTCTTTCATTCTATTTTTCTCTTGCTTTTGTATCTTCTTCCTCCCGTCTCATTTTCTTTTCTTTCTTTTTCTTTTCTTTCTTCTTCCTCCCGTCTTATTTTCTTTCTTTTTCTTTTCTTTCTTTTTCTTTTCTTTCTTCTTCCTCCAGTCTTCTTTTCTTTCTTTTTCTTTTCTTTCTTTTTCTTTTCTTTCTTTTTTCTTCCTCCAGTCTTCTTTTCTTTCTTTTCTTTTCTTTCTTTTCTTTTTTTCTTCTTTTTCTTTTTCTTTCTTTTCTTTTCTTTCTTTTTCTTTTCTTTCTTTTCTTTTCTTCCTTCCTCTTCTTCTTTTCTTTCTTTTTCTTTTCTTTCTTTTTTTCTTTCTTTTTTTTTTCTTTCTTCTTCCTCCAGTCTTCTTTTCTTTCTTTTTTCTTTTCTTTTCTTTTTTTCTTTTCTTTTTTCTTCTTCCTCCAGTCTTCTTTTCTTTCTTTTCTTTTCTTTCTTTTTTCTTTTTCTTTCTTTTTTCTTTTCTTTCTTTTCTTTTTCCTCTTTTCTTTTCTTTTTCTTCCTTTAGTTTTCTTTTCTTTCTTTTTCTTTTCTTTCTTTTTCTTTTCTTTCTTCTTCCTCCAGTCTTCTTTTCTTTCTTTTTCTTTTCTTTCTTTTTCTTTTCTTTCTTCTTCCTCCCGTCTTCTTTTCTTTCTTTTCTTTCTTTTTCTTTTTTTCTTTTCTTTTCTTTCTTCTTTTCTCTTTCTTTTCTTTTCCCGTCTTTTTTTCTTTTTTCTTTCTTTTTTTTCTTTTCTTTTCTTTTCTTTTTCTTCTTTTCCAGTTTCTTTCTTTTCTTTTCTTTTTTCTTTTTTTCTTTTTTTCTTTTTTTTTTTCTTTTCTTCCTCCAGTCTTCTTTTCTTTCTTTTTTCTTTTCTTTCTTTTTTTTTTTCTTTCTTCTTCCTCCGTCTTCTTTTCTTTCTTTTCTTTTCTTTTTTTTTTTTCTTTCTTCTTCCTCCGTCTTCTTTTCTTTTTTTTTTTTTCTTTTTCTTTTCTTTTCTTCTTCCCTCCAGTCTTCTTTTCTTTCTTTTCTTTTCTTTCTTTTTTTTTCTTTTTCTTTCTTTTCTTTTTTTCTTTCTTTTTCTTTCTTTCTTCTTCTTTCTTTCTTCTTTTCTTTTTTTTCTTTTCTTTTCTTTTCTTTTTTTTTTTTCTTTCTTCTTCCTCTTCTTTTCTTTTCTTTTTCTTTTCTTTTTTTTCTTTTCTTTCTTCTTCCTCCCGTCTTCTTTTCTTTCTTTCTTTTTCTTTTCTTTCTTTTTCTTTTCTTTCTTCTTCCTCCAGTCTTCTTTTCTTTCTTTTTCTTTTCTTTCTTTTTCTTTTCTTTCTTCTTCCTCCAGTCTTCTTTTCTTTCTTTTTCTTTTCTTTCTTTTTCTTTTCTTTCTTCTTCCTCCCATCTCGTTTTCTTTCTTTCTTTTTCTTGTTTATCTACCTTTCTTTTAGTTTCTCGCTTTTCATTCTTTTCTCTAATTTTTCTTTCCTTCATTTTTTTCGGTTTAATTTTTCTGTAAGAATCTTTCTTTCTTTTCTCATTTTGTCCTTTTTTTTTATTTCTTTTCGCTCTCTTTTTCGCTTTTTTTCCTGCTATTTCTTCTCTTTTTTCTTTTCGTCATTTTTTCTTTCTTCGTCGTTTACCTTTTTATTACTTTTTTTTTTATTTCTCACCCGGTTTCATTTTCTTTTCACTTTTTCTTTCTTTTTCTTTTTGCCTTTTGCTTTTTATCGTTTTTATTTAATTTCTCTCTCGTTTTAAGTTCTTTCTTTCTTTCTTTTTTACTTTATCATTTACCATTTTCTCTTCTTCTTCTTTTTTTTTATCTTTCTTCACATTTACTTTCCTACTTTTCATTTTGCTCTTCATCTTTCTTTTCATTTCGCGTTTCTCTCGTTTGAGTTTCAAGCATTTCTTCTCTATTTACTTTTCTTCTTTTTTCTTTTTTCCTTTCTTTTTTTCTTAGTTTTTCTTTCTTTGTCATTTTACTTTTTATTTAATCTTTCCTTCACTTTTCCTTCACCTTTCCTTTCTTGCTTCCTTTCTTTTCTTTGTTTTTCCTTCTTTGTCATTTTACAGTTTATTTCAGTTTTTCTTCACTTTTTCTTCACCGTTGCTTTCTTTCTTTTTTCTTCGTTTTTTCTTCTTTCTTTCTTTCTTTCTTTCTTTCTTTCTTTCTTTGAATCATTTCCTTCCTTCTTTCTTTCTTCGAAATATTCTGTTCTCTGGACCGTTCTCTCCTTTTCTTCTTTCTTTTTTTCTTTAATTGCCTATTTCTCTGCACTATTATTTCTTTCTTTTTCCTTGCACCATTCTTGTTCTGTCTTTCTTTCTTTCTTTCTTTCTTTCTTTCTTTCTTTCTTTCTTCGAAATATTCTGTTCTATGGACCGTTCTCGCCTTTTCTTCTTTCTTCTTTTCTTTTGTTGCCTCATTCTCTGTACTGTTATTTCTTTTCTTCTTCGCATCATTCTTGTTCCTTCTTTCTTTCTTTCTTTCTTTCTTTCTTTTTCTTTCTTGTTCTTTCTTTCTTTCTTTCTTTTTCTTTCTTTTTTTTTCTTTATTATCGATTTCTCACTCCTTTTATTTTGTTCTTTTTTATTCTTTTTTCTTTCTTTCTTTCTTTCTTTCTTTTCTTCGTTTTTATTCTTTGCCATTTTCCTTTTATGCCTCTTATTTTATTTAATTTGTCTTTCTTTCTTTCTTTCTTTCTTTGTTTGTTTGTTTGTTTGTTTGTTTGTTTGTTTGTTTCTTTCTTTCTTTCTTTCTTTTCTTCGTTTTTATTCTTTGCCATTTTCCTTTTATATCTCTTATTTTATTTAATTTGTCTTTCTTTCTATCTATCTTTCTTTTTTTCTTTCTTTCTTTTTTCTTTTATTTACTACACCTTTTTTTAAAAAAAAATCTAATTTTCCATCTTCCTGTTCATTTTTTTCTTTGAGTCTTGAGATGCATTCCTATTCCAATATCATGTATTTTCCGATCAGTAAAAATTCCTTTCCCATTGATTTTGAAGCATCAGCTACTTCCTAACGAAATTAAAGTCGGGTAAAGTTTCACCAAACAGAGACGCCATGAAACAGCATAAGTCGGGGAGAAGGGAATTTCTCTATATTTTTTTTATTTAAAAACAGGAAAAGATGATTTGTCAATACGCTCTGCTTTTCCCGCCAAGTTTAAGCTCAAAACTCAACTTTAAGAAAATTATCTTCATACATGACTAGCTCCACAGCATTCTTTCCTGATTTTTTGGAACTCCATAGATTGCCATAAAATAGAAGAAATAAAATCAAGAAAAAAAAATAGATAGATAGATAGAGAGAGAGAGAGAGAGAGAGAGAGAGAGAGAGAGAGAGAGAGAGAGTGTGTGTGTGTGTGTGCGTGAGAGAGAGAGAGAGAGAGGGGGGTTTCACTTCCGCTCTGTTTGATAAACTTGTCCATGCGGTCCAACATGAACGAGACGTGAAGGCATTGCTTGTCGTCCGGCAGCTGCCGACGATGAGGCCCAGATTCAAAAGCGAACGGTATAAACTGAAACTGCTTCACTAAAAACCAATGGCTTGTCAGAGCGCACGTCACTATCCAAAATGGCGGACTTGATTGTTACTTTTGCCGCTCAAATTGTCGGCGTAGTTGCGGGCGAAAGATCGCTATTTTGAGACGTACGTTATTGGAAACAGGCATTTAAGTGGGAAGATGTAAGTAAATACGCAGCGGAGGTTTAGGCACGATTTCACTGACTTCATTTTTACGCGGTCATTGCAATAAAGATATGAAAGCCAGTGCCTACCGTAGCATTAGCAAGATTGTCTAACACAACAATACATCGAGTTCGATCCTCTAGAGTGGCGTGCACATAGAACCTTCAGTGAAAAGTATCTATCATTACAAAATTATCATCGGTTATTGCCACATTGCGTTTTTAGAGTGAACTCTAGTACCTAGACTTTATGAATTTAAATGGAGTAGTAGATTGGCGGCAAGGTAACCGTGAGTTCTATGCTAAGCGTTTCTTCTCTAGAACTTCTCACTTGTGGAAATCTCTTCCGGCTTCTTGCTTTGAAATCAACTTCGATCATCAAAAATTAGACTTTATGAATTTAAGCGCAGTACTAGTTTGGCAACAATGTCTTATCAATTTTCAATTGAAATAGCAAATGTAACCGTAAGTTCTATGCTAAGCGTTTCTTCTCTAGCACTTCTCACTTTAGGAAATCTCTTCCGGCTTCTTGCTTTGAAATCAACTTTGATCATCAAAAATTAGACTTTATGAATTTAAGCGCAGTATTAGTTTGGTAACAAGGTCATATCAATTTACAGGTTAAATAGCAAATGTAACCGTAAGTTCTATGCTAAGCGTTTCTTCTCTCGCACTTCTCACTTGTGGAAATCTCTTCCGGCTTCTTGCTTTGAAATCAACTTTGATCATCGAAAATTAGACTTTATGAATTTAAGCGCAGTATTAGTTTGGTAACAAGGTCATATCAATTTACAGTTTAAATAGCAAATGTAACCGTAAGTTCTATGCTAAGCGTTTCTTCTCTCGCACTTCTCACTTGTGGAAATCTCTTCCGGCTTCTTGCTTTGAAATCAACTTTGATCATCAAAAATTAGACTTTATGAATTTAAGCGCAGTACTAGTTTGGTAACAAGGTCTTATCAATTTACAGTTTAAATAGCAAATGTAACCGTAAGTTCTATGCTAAGCGTTTCTTCTCTCGCACTTCTCACTTGAGGAAATCTCTTTCGGCTTCTTGCTTTGAAATCAACTTTGATCATCAAAAATTAGACTTTATGAATTTAAGCGCAGTATTAGTTTGGCAACCAGGTCTTATCAATTAACAGTTGAAATAGCAAATGTAACCGTAAGTTCTATGCTAAGCGTTTCTTCTCTCGCACTTCTCACTTGTGGAAATCTCTTCCGGCTTCTTGCTTTGCAGTTGACATTGATCTGCAGAAATTTAAATACAATGTCAACTGTTATCTTCTGTCTTCTTAATTCTTGTTTTTTTTTTATCTTCTTAATAATGCTTTAATTTTTCTCAGATTCTTTAACATTCTTTATTGTCTTGCTTGGTGTGAAATGATTAAAAAAAGACTTTCATGCCACCGTTACATAGCTTCCCTGTGCCTCTTCTATAAATACTTCCATTGTAATTGTTCTGATGAACTTTCCTCTTTCGTTATTTTTATTCTCTATCCCGACAGACAAATTGTACATAAGGGAACTACTAAGGACTACATAGAGACCACGAGGTATTATGGTGACTGCAGAAAGAGTGATGAGTAAGAATGTGTTGTTTTGTAGTAAGGACGACTGTGGTATGTTTGGGTTAGTAATCGTGGCTAGCTAAGTTTGTGCCACATTTTTGTATTATTCAAAATAAATATTACTTTCCTCTTTGGTACCTAGACTTTATGAATTTAAGCGCAGTACTAGATTGGCGGCAAGGTCTCACCAATTTAAAGTTGCATTAACTACATGCAAACCTTAAGTCTTTGCTAACATTTCCTTTTCTCGCACTTCTCACTTGTGGAACTATCTTCAAGCTTCTTGCTTTCCAGTCAAATTTGATCTTCAAAAATTTAAATACAATGTCTATCGTTATCTACGCTATTCTTGATTACTTTTCTATTGTTTTCTTTCCTCAGTAATGATTCTGCTTTCTAATTCTTTCACACCCAGTAACCCCTTGTGCCTTAGTGCCTTGCATAGGGTGAATTCGATTAAAAAAAGGGAAAGTATCAGCTGCTAGTCGATGGTCTTATTGACTTTCGGAAGTCTAACCATAATCTGGGGTATCGTTTTGGCATATATTTACTATTGATCTCTACACTTTGATATGGTGTAATATTTAACACGCTTGTCTCGTGTGATCAGTTACGACACAGCGGTAAATTAGGTCCTCAGTGGGTGCTCCCTAATTGCAGCCTTGTGCTGCATATAAGTTACGCTTAGTAAATCGCTATTTACTAATGACCTAATAATGTTCCTTGGTAGATCGTTATTATAGTGCAAAATAAAGATAGTAGCGAGCAGAAAGCAAGAAGCTTGAAGATAGTTCCACAAGTGAGTAGTGCGAGAAAAATGTTAGCATAGAATTAAGGTTTACATGTAGTCAATACAATTTTAAATTGGTGAGACCTTGCCGCCAGTCTAGTACTGCGCTTAAATTCATAAAGTCTAGGTACCAAAGAGGAAAGTAATATTTATTTTGAACTAGCAGCATGGCCCAGCGTTGCCCGTGCTTGATTCAAAAATCGTACGACTCATACAGCAATCGCTATCACTTGACTTAAAATATTTTTGCCCTTCCTTGCCTTTAAAGGAGTGCCCTTTGCCGTGCTGATGTTGCTACATGCCTTACTTCTTGCCTATCTCACACTGCGATTTTTTTCTAAGCTCTATACTAATATTACTCTGTATCTCTCTCTCTCTCTCTCTCTCTCTCTCTCTCTCTCTCTCTCTCTATCTATCTATCTATCTATCTCAGTGTCTTCATATCTATCTATCTATCTATCTATCTATCTAAGTCTGTCCTTTATCTATCTATCTATCTATCTATCTTCATTCATTTTCTATCTACATTCATTATTACTCTGTATCTCTCTCTCTTTCTCTCTCTCTCTCTCTCTCTATCCATCTATCTATCTATCTATCTATCTTATTCCATTTATCTATCTATCTATCTATCTATCTCAGTCTCTTCATATGTATCTTGTATTTTTTACTTGTTTTCTTTCTTTTTTCTTTCTTTCATCCATTCATTCTTTCTTTCTTCGAATTATTCTGTTATATCGACCGTTCTCTCTTTTTTTTTTCTTCTTTCTTCTATTCCCTCGTTGGCTCATTCTACGTATCATTATATCTTTCTTTCCTTGGATCATTCTGTTCTTTCTTTTTTTTCTTTCTTTCTTTCTTTTTTTCTTTGAATCATTTCCTTCCTTCTTTCTTTCTTCGAAATATTCTGTTCTCTGGACCGTTCTCTCCCTTTCTTCTTTCTTTTTTTCTTACTTGCCTATTTCTCTGCACTTCTTTTTCCTTTCTTGTTCTTTTCTTTCTTTCTTTCTTTCTTCAGAAATATTCTTTCTCTGGACCGTTCTCTTTTTCTTTCTTTTGCCTATTTCTCTGCACTATTATTTCTTTCTTTTTCCTTGCACCATTCTTGTTCTGTCTTTCTTTCTTTCTTTCTTTCTTTCTTCGAAATATTCTGTTCTATGGACCGTTCTCGCCTTTTCTTCTTTCTTCTTTTCTTTTGTTGCCTCATTCTCTGTACTGTTATTTCTTTTCTTCTTCGCATCATTCTTGTTCTTTCTTTCTTTCTTTCTTTCTTTTTCTTTCTTTCTTTTTTCTTTCTTTCTTTCTTTCTTTCTTTCTTTCTTTCTTTCTTTCTTTCTTTCTTTCTTTCTTTCTTCGAAATATTCTGTTCTATGGACCGTTCTCGCCTTTTCTTCTTTCTTCTTTTCTTTTGTTGCCTCATTCTCTGTACTGTTATTTCTTTTCTTCTTCGCATCATTCTTGTTCTTTCTTTCTTTCTTTCTTTCTTTCTTTTTCTTTCTTTCTTTTTTTCTGTATTATCGATTTCTCTCTCCTTTTATTTTGTTCTTTTTTATTCTTTCTTTCGCCTTCAAGTTTAACGTTCAAGTGGTACTCGACTAAAATCTAACGAAATAAAGGAATAGAATAAACGAACAAGGCAAGCATTAAAACAGCCATGAAAGGCAAAACGCAAGAAAACAAAAACCGGAAGAAAGATAATTCTTACAAACGCTAACGGAACCCGAAGGCCAAAAAGGACGAGATATTAAGGAAGCGAAAAAATAATGACGACAGTATTGTGAACAATAAAGAAACAAAAGAGAATACAGCATTTATAATAATAAAAAAGAAACAATTCTTAATTGGAACAACAATAAAAGCACAGAAATAAAGAAAAAGGGAGAGAGAGAGAGAGAGAGAGAGAGAGAGAGAGACAGAGACAGAGACAGAGAAAGGGGGAAGGAAGACACCGATTGCAATAAGAAAAATGATCATGATCATCATTAATAGCATTAATGATATTTAAACAGTAATGAGAATAAAAAAGAAATAATAATAATAATAATAATAATTATTATTATTATTTTCAGTAAAAATATACCAATAATAATAATAATTTTCAGTAAAGAAATATACCAACAACAACAATGACAATAATAATAATAATTTTCAGTAGAGAATTATACCAACAACAACAACAATAATAATAATAATAATAATTTTCAGTGAAGAAATATATCAATAATAATGATAATAATGATAATAATAATAATTTTCAGTAAAGAAATATACCAACAACAACAACAACAATAATAATAATAATAATAATAATAATAATAATAATAATAATAATAAAACCTTGAAATAGAAATCATGAAAATGTGGCATATGGGAACATCAACAATCCCTGTTGTAGTTGGAGCCCTAGGACTGGTTGGAAAAAGATTCTAGTAGACTAATTGAAGGGATTCCTGGAAGTCCATGCCTCAAGGAGATACAGAAAATTGTTCTGACAAGTACAGCCCACACCTTACGAAGGGCTTTATCTATGTAATCTTTTCCTCTTTTTTTTTTTTTTTTTTTGTCAGTGGAAAGTGTCATGACGCCATTTCTAACCTTAGGTCCCTGGGCGGGACCCGGAAAGAAATAATGTAAACGCCAGAAATCAAAAGAAAATAAAAATAATAATAATAAAATACAATCATCAGATTGGAAGCCTTCCTAAAAAAACAAAAAAAAAAAAACAATGACCCTCCCCTACAAATAGTAAAACACCAAATCCACTCAATCAACAAAGAAGCTGTATTCTTCAAGAAAAAGCTTAATATACCTGAAATCCTACCAACAAAAAACAAAGCGAATACCATCTATGTCAAAGAGTAAAGCAGAAAGCTGGTCAAATGAAATTACAACAAAACTGGGAGAACAAGGCGTTGCAGGGAGAATCGGGTTGAAAGCTGAGACAGAAGGCCTAATTATTGCAGCTCAGGACCAAAGCATCGCAATCAGATCCTATCACTGTCACATAATCAAGGATAAAACTAACCCGAAATGCAGGATATGTGGAAAATATGATGAAACTGTCGACCATATTATCTGAGAATGTCCGCAAGAGCCAAAAATGAAATACCCAGAAACAAAACAAGATAGCGACATATGTGCACTGAAAGATATGCAAGAGGCAAACAAACGAAACCACGAAGAGATGGTATGAGCACCAACCAGACATGGTTACCCAAAATATGTTGTATCTACCAAACGCTTTAGGAGAGCGAAGTCTAATCCAACTTGAACTAAATCCCAAACTACAAAAATCGGATTGGAAGAATACTTTACATAAAACAATGACCCTCTCCAAGAAATAGTAAAACACTAAATCCACTCCATCAACAAAGAAACTGAACTCTCCAAGAAAGAGTTTAATATATTTGAAACCCTACCAACAAAAAATGAAGCGAATGCCATCTACGCCAAATGAGTAAAACAGAAAGCAAAACAATTTGGCCAAATGAAATTGCAAAAACTGGGCGGACACGGCAATGCATTGCAAATAGCTAAAAAGAACGAAAGAAGCAGATGTGAACAAACAGACAACAGATCAGTGGCTGAGAAGCACTGGGTTGAAACCTGAGATAGAAGGCCTTATTATTTCAGCTCAGGACCAAAGCCTCGCAACCAGATCCTATCACTGTCACATAATCAAGGATAAAACTAACCCGAAATGCAGGATCTGCAGAAAACATTATGAAATTGTCGACCATATTATCTCAGGATGTTCGGAACTGGCAAAAAAATGAATATATCCAGAGACATAACAAGATAACGACATATGTGCACTGGCAGATATGCAAGAAGCACAAAATCGAAACCACTGAGAGATGGTATGAGCACCAACCAGACGAAAGGATGAAGAAGCGACGAAGCATTTTTGTTTCCCATCGGTATGACCAATGCTAACCTCCAAGATGGCAACTCACTGCGTCTTCTTAGTTTTACGTTTTACACTGACATGAATTGTAGTGAGTGTATTAACTCTATTTGCTGCCAGGCAAGTTTTTTTTTCTCTCGACAGAATTTCTCTTGAACATTTAAAAGTCTACTATTCGTTCGTTTATTAAATATTGGCATTTCAAGATTCTCCCCAAAACCTAGAGAAGGGTCTGTAATATAATCGGCTCTGATCTGGCATCTCGGCTTCAATCACTTGCCCACCGCCGTGATGTGGCTTACCTCTGTCTTTTCTATACTTATTTTCATGGCGTTTTTTTTTTTAATGAGCTCACGTCCTTGGGACCTCGACCACATGAATTTAATCTTGCTTCTAGATTGGAAAGTCGTTTTCATCGTTTTATTATAGAACTAGTTAGATGTAGGGCTGGTGCGTATACCCACGATCCCCCTGCGACCAGTTTAGGGGTCCCGGGCGGTGCTTTGTGATCTTCGCTAGTTTCTCAACATTTGCTTTTTTTTCTGGTTACCTTTATATACGTTACAAATTAAACTAAGCACAACTGTCTATTGAATTTTCGCAGACTTTGATGTCATTCTGTTTGTTTTTCGTCAAAATCTGTGAATTTGTTTTGCTCACTCTAAGTCTCGAATAAATCCTAATTTATTTAATGATAACTCTTCGTGATTGGGAGCCCCGGGCCGTACTTTGTGACCGTACCTTTCTTATCAACATTTGCTTTTTCTACCTACATGTATATAAGTTAAAAATTAAACTAAGCACAACTTACTAATGAGGATTAAAATTTTTCGCGGGTTTGGTCGTCATTCATTATTTTTTTCGTCCAAATCCATGAATTTGTTTTGCTTATGCTAAGTCCCGAAAAACCACTATGTAAAATTCACTATTTTTATCCATAATGTTGGATATGTTAAAATTATTCAATTTTTAACAAGAAAAATCTCAATTTGATGTTAAAACTATGAACGTAGGGTGAAAAGTTGAAGATGAAAGACGAGGCGTACAGAAAAAAAAAAAAAATAATAATTTTCAGTAAAGAAATATACAAATAATAATAATAATAATAATTTTTTTTTTTTTTTTTTGTCAGTGGAAAGTGTCATGACGCCATTTCTAACCTTAGGTCCCTGGGCGGGACCCGGAAAGAAAAATGTAAACGCCAGAAATCAAAGAAAATAAAAATAAAAATAATAATTATAATACAACAATCGCATTGGAGGCCTACCTAAAAAAAAAAGCAAACAAAAATAAAAAAAACATAAACAAAAAGAAAAAAGAAAAACAATGACCCTCTCCTAGAAATAGTAAAACACTAAATCCACACCATCAACAAAGAAGCTGTACTTTTCAAGAAAAAGCTTAATATACCTGAAATCCTACCAACAAAAACCAAAGCAAATACCATCTATGTCAAAGAGTAAAGCAGAAACCTGGTCAAATGAAATTACAACAAAACTGGAAGGACAAGGCGTTGCAGGGCAAATACATGAAATGAACGAAAGAATTAGATGTGGATCAGCAGAAAATACATCAGTGGCTGAGAAGAATCGGGTTGAAAGCTGAGACAGAAAGCCTAATCATTGCAGCTCAGGACCAAAGCCTCGCAACCAGATCCTATCAATGTCACATAATCAAGGATAAAACTAACCCGAAATGCAGGATCTGCGGAAAACATTATGAAATTACCGACCATATTATCTCAGGATGTTCGGAACTGGCAAAAAAAATGAATATACCCAGAGACATAAAAAGGTAGTGACATATGTGCACTGAAAGATATGCAAGAGGCAAACAAACGAAACCACTAAGAGATGGTATGAGCACAAACCAGACACGGTTACCCAAAATATGCTGTATCTACCAAACGCTTTAGGAGACCGAAGTCTAATCCAACTTGAACTAAATCCAAAACTACAAAAATCGGATTGTAAGAATATATTACAAAAAATAATCACCCTCTCCTACAAATAGTAAAACACTAAATCCACACCATCAACAAAGAAACTGAACTCTTCAAGAGAAAGCTTAATATATTTGAAACCCTACCAACAAAAAACGAAGCGAATGCCATCTACGCTAAACGAGTAAAGCAGAAAGCTGGTCAAATGAAATTACAACAAAACTTAGAGGACTAGGCGTTGCAGGGCAAATACATGAAAAGAACGAAAAAATTAGATTTCGACCAACAGATAGTTGATTTATTTAAGAACTAGCAGTATAACCCGTCTTCGACAGGGCCTTTCATTACTGGGAATTTTTGCCGTTCAATTGGAGCAGTTTAAGTATAAAACCAGCCCACCCAAAAATGATGGGGGGGGGGATAACAACTTGAATGGTGGCGGGTGGCCCTGAAAAGCGAACTGTACAATAATAAATAATATTGTAATAATTTAAACTATTTATTTTTTATTCAAGTTTTTCTGAAAGATATATATATATATCCAAGAACAGATAGTAAATAATAAAACGTTGCTGAGAGTTATAATGGATAGGAAGTAGTGGAGAGCCATTGTCGCCAACAATTTGGACTCAAAACAGGCACTGAAGAATTATCTATTAAAAAAAAATTTGATCACGCATGTGGAAACGCATAAACAACATCCGATCACACACAGACACACACACACACACACATTTTGAGAATTATAGATATAGAGACAGAATGATCTTTATGGCATGGTTCTAAATGTTCGCATTATTCGGACTTACGTCCTCATCTTTGTCGCCATATTTATTACAACGTTTCGGCTGTTGTACACCTGAACCCTTTATTCTAGTTCTAGTTCCACGTGCCATGTTTAATGGATGTCAGTTATCTCCTGTTATTTTTCCTCTGAAAGTTCTCCACTACCTTAACCGGGTATTGAACTCACACTCTTTTGGGTCCTGTAACTGGATCTAACTAACGCCGTTATCCACTGGGTAAATGTGTCCTTGAGGACATCTGGGTATGAATTTCTGTGTATTATAATCCTAATGTCTTCAGCAAAGATTTTTTACCTACATTTCATATCATCTATTATTGTATATAATTAGGTTACAAAATATTTGTATTTTATATAAATACTACCTTATGCCGTCCTGGGTATGACGATAAACTACATCCGCGTGCTGGGTAAGACGATAAACTACGTCCAACAGCAAGGCCTCTGATCAGGAAGTTTTGAGGAATATAGAACGACCTATTAATTGCTGGTGTTCCCAGGTCCACCCTGACTCGGGGTGGTAGCACCTGTTAGGGCCCCAGCTATGGGCAATTAGTTAACCCCGAAACTGACGTAAAAATCATTATAAAAGTGTAAATATGGGTTTGAATACCAGATATACTTTGTAAAATAATTGTTACCAGAAATAAATTTTTGAAGAAAAAACAAAAACAAAAACAACAAAAAAAGACTATTACCAGAAATAAATTTTTGAAAGAAAATATTACCAGCAATAGATGTTTTAAAATAATATTACCAGCTATACATTTTTGAGGAAAAAAAATATTACCAGAAATAGATTTTTGACAAAACAAAATATTACCAGGAAAAAAAAAGTTGTCGGCATTAAATAACCCAATGAGGTTGATATGCCGTAAAACACAACAAACCAAACCAAACCAAACCTACTACCTTATGAAAATTGGGGAGGGGTGCACGTATCATAGATTCGGTGGGGACCCACGAGACCCTTGCAACGGCCCTGGGGGAACTCTCTTCCGATTTCTACGATCTTCGAAATTTAAACGCAACATCAATCACCATCTTCTGTCTTTTCTTCCATTGTCTTTTCAAGTCTTTTGATTCTCTTTCACTCTCAGTAACCCGTTGCGTTTTAGTGGCATTATCACCTTGCTTGGGGTGAAATGGTTAAAAAAAAGAAAAGAAAAAAAGGAGTGTAGGATAGAGAGTAAAGGAAAATTAAAAGAGGAGGAGGGATAGACGACGTAAACGAAGTAGGAGGAGATCTACAAAAAAAATGAAGAAAGAAAGAAGAATAGAAGTAGTGTCGGACGAATAAGGGGAAAATAACGAAAAGAAATCACAAGAATATAAACTAAGTATGAAAAAGAAAGTGTATTAAGAGAAGAGGTAAAGAAAACGAAACAGAATATGTGTGGCGAGAGAAAGCAAAGAAGGATGATAAGGGAGGGTGAGGAATAGTGCAAGGAGAGGAGAGAAAGAAAGAGTAGGAGGAGTTAACGTATAGTGGAAGGTAAATAAGAAGAGCGATGGAAAAAAGGGGGTGAAGAATGTAGGAGCGTTCTTAGGGAGAAATGACGAAGACGATGAAAAAGAATGGATTTAGGGAGAGGATTTGAAGAAAGAGGAGGAGCGCACAGAGATACGACGAAGGAAGAGGAGGAGCTGTAGCGAGAGGAGAAGTAGGAGTTAGAAGTATGAAAAAAAAAAAGACATTACGGAGAAGTGCAGGAACGGAAGTTAAAAAACGATGACGAGGCGTAGTAAGAGGAGAAGAAAAAAGAAGGAAGTGTAGAAGTATAAAAAAAAAAAAAAAAGAGGAGGTGAAAAAAGAAGGAGTAGGCGTAGGGAGAGGTAACAAAGTAAAAGAATGGACATATGGAGATAATTGAAGGAGTAGTATGAGTCGTAGGGGGAGGAGATGAAGAAGCAGTAGGAGGGGGTGGCAGTAAGGAAAAAGAAAGCGTGTAAGTTGAAAAAAGATGAAGAGGTGTAGTAAGAGGAGATGACAAAAAAGAAGTGTAAAAGTATAAAATAAAAATAAGTGTGTAATCGAATGAGGTGGTGACAAAAGGAGGAGAAGGCGTAGGGAGAGGTTAAGAAGACGAAGTAAAAGAATGAGTATAGGGAGAGAGACATAAGATGAAGGAGGGGGGGTTACAGATAAAATGAAAGAGGAGATGACTTAGGGAGAGGAGATGACGTAGGCAGAGGAGATGAAGAAGTGGGAGGAGATGTCAGTATGGAAAAAGAAATCAAGAAAGCGTGTAGCATATTGGAAGTTAGAAAAGATGAAGAAGAGGTGTAGTAAGAGGAGATGACAAAAAGGAAGTGTCGAAGTATAAAATAAAAAAAAGAGGGTAATAGAATATAAAAGAAGAAGAAGACGTAAGGAGAGGTAAAGAAGAAGACGAAGTAAAGAATGAGCGTAAGGTGAAAAGTTGAAGATGAAGGAGGGGGGCGTACTGAGATCAAATGAAGAAGGACGAGGAAATGGCAGTAGAGAAAAAAAAGAGGTGTTGTATGATGAGATGGAAAAGGTGGAAACATTGAGAAGACGGCTACGAAATATGTAGTAGAAGGACTAGGGAGAGAGGAGATGAAGAAAGTAGTAGCTTTCTTAGGGAGAGATAAAAAAGAAGACGAAGAAAAAGAATGGATGAAAGGGAGAGATTTAGCTGAAAATTGAGGAGCCGTACACAGAATAGGGGGAGCGAGGAGTCGTAGGGAGAGGAGGTGAATAAGAAATAGAAAGAGGTGTAGTAAGAGGTGACGAAAAAAGAGGAAGTGTGAGGAGGACAGGTATAGAATAAAAAGGAGCGCTATAGGAAAAGGAGGAGCAGGAGTAGAGAGAGGTGAATTGCAAACGAATAAGAGGGGTAGGTCTAGGAAGATAAGATAAAGAAGGAGGAGGGCACGCAGGCGCATAGAGAGAAAATGAAGTAATGATAAAAGCAAAAGAGAGAGAGAGAGAGAGAGAGAAAGAAGAAAAAGTAGGAGACAATGAGAGGGAGGAGACTTGAGAAGGAGACAAAAAAAGAAGACATTGTATAAAGTAGTAGTAGAAGAGTAGAAGGAGAGACAAAGAAGAAGAAAAGGAGTATTAAAAGTAGCAAAAAAAAGTAGTATTGAAATATTAGAGTAGTAAAGAGAGGGGAGACAAAGAAAGAGGGTAAAGGAGGAGACAGAAGAAATAAGAGGAAGGGAGACAAAGAAAAAAAGGGCAGAAGAAAAAAGAAGTTTGTATAATATTAGAAGTAAAAAGTAGAAAAAGAAGAAGAAGAAGAAGAAGAAGAAGCACAGAAGGGTGATGAAGAAGAGGAGACAATGAAAAAAGAAGGCGTTGTGTAGTAGAAGTAATAGTAGTAGTAAGATGTAGAAGAGACGGAGACAAAGAAGAAAAAGAGGCAGAAGAAAAAGAAGACGTTGTGCAATAGTAGTAGTAAAATAAGAAAGAAAAGAAGAAAAATGGAAAAAGAAGAAGAAGAAGAAAAGAAGAAGAAGAAAGAAGAAGAAGACGTGAAGAAGAAGAAGAAGAAGAAATGAGGGAGTCAAAGAAGAAGAAGACGTGAAGAAGAAGAAGAAGAAGAAGAAAGAAGAAGAAGACGTGAAAAAAGAAGAAGACAAGAAGAAGAAGAAGAAGAAGAGGGGAGTCAAAAAGAAGAAGAAGACGTGAAGAAGAAGAAGAAGAAGAAAAGAAGAAGGGAGTCAAAGAAGAAGAAGAAGAAGAAGAAAGAAGAAGAAAGAAGAAGAAGGAGGGAGTCAAAAGAAGAAGAAGACGTGAAGAAGAAGAAGAAGAAGAGAGGGAGTCAAAGAAGAAGAAGACGTGAAGAAGAAGAAGAAGAAGAAGAAACGAGGGAGTCAAAGAAGAAGAAGACGCGAAGAAGAAATGGAGACAAAGAAGAAGAAGAAGAAGAAGAAGAAGAAGCGAGGGAGTCAAAGAAGAAGAAGACGTGAAGAAGAAGAAGAAGAAGAAGCGAGGGAGTCAAAGAAGAAGAAGACGTGAAGAAGAAGAAGAAGAAGAAGAAGCGAGGGAGTCAAAGAAGAAGAAGACGTGAAGAAGAAGAAGAAGAAGAAGAAGAAGAAGAAGAAGCGAGGGAGTCAAAGAAGAAGAAGACGTGAAGAAGAAGAAGAAGAAGCGAGGGAGTCAAAGAAGAAGAAGACGTGAAGAAGAAGAAGAAGAAGAAGAAGAAGAAGAAGGAGGGAGTCAAAGAAGAAGAAGAAGAAGAAGAAGAAGAAGAAGAAGAGTCAAAGAAGAAGAAGAGAGAAAGAAGAAGAAGAAGAAGAAGAAGAAGAAGACGGAATAAAAGAAGAAGAAGAAGACGAGGAAGAAATGAGAAGAAGAAGAAGAAGAAGAAGAAGAAGAAGAAACGAGGGAGTCAAAGAAGAAGAAGACGACGAAGAAGAAAAAGAAGAAAAAAGAAGAAGAAGAAGAAGAAGAAGAAGAAGGAGGGAGTCAGCAGGAAGAAGACGTGAAGAAGAAGAAGAAGAAGTTGAGGAATAAAGAAGAAGAAGAAGAAGAAGAAGAAGAAGAAGAAGGAGGAGTCAAAGAAGAAGAAGAAGAAGAAGAAGAAGAAGAAGAAGAACATGGAGACAAAGGGAAAAGAAGAAGAAGACGAAGAAGAAGAAGAAGAGGAGGGAGTCAAAGAAGAAGAAGACGAAGAAGAAGAAGAAGAAGAAAAGAGGAAAGAAGAAGAAGAAGAAGAAGAAATGGAGAGAAAGAAGAAGAAAGAAGAAGAAGAAGAAGAAGGGGGAGTCAAAGAAGAAGAAGACGAAGAAGAAGAAGAAGAAGAAGGAGGAAAGCCAAAAAAGAAGAAGACGAAGAAGAAGAAGAAGAAGAAGAAGAAGGGGAGTCAAAGAAGAAGAAAGACGTGAAAAGAAGAAGAAGAAGAAGAAGAAGAAAAAGAAGAAGAAGAAGAGGGAGTCAAAGAAGAAGAAGACGCGAAGAAGAAAAAGAACAAGAAGAAGAAGAAGAAGAAAAGGAGGAGTCAAAGAAGAAGAAGAAGAAGAAGAAGAAGAGTCAAAGAAGAAGAAGAAGAAGAAGAAGAAGAAGAAGAAGAAGAAGAAGAAGGAGTCAAAAGAAGAAGAAGAAGAAGAAGAAGAAGAAGAAGAAGAAGCGAGGGAGTCAAAGAAGAAGAAGACGTGAAGAAGAAGAAGAAGAAGAAGGAGGAGTCAAAGAAGAAGAAGACGTGAAGAAGAAGAAGAAGAAGAAGAAGAAGAAGAAGAGGGAGTCAAAGAAGAAGAAAACGCGAAGAAGAAATGGAGACAAAGAAGAAGAAGAAGAAGAAGAAGAAAGAAGAAGAAGAAGACGTGAAGAAGAAGTGAGGGAGTCAAAGAAGAAGAAAACGCGAAGAAGAAATGGAGACATGGAGACAAAGAAGAATAAGAAGAGCTGAAGAAGAAGAAGAAGTAGAAAAAGAAGAAGCGAGGGAGTCAAAGAAGAAGACGTGTAGAAAAAGAAGAAGAAGCGAGGGAGTCAAAGAAGAAGAAGACGTGAAGAAGAAGAAGAAGAAGAAGAAGAAGAATACTGCTAACGATCATTTTAAGGCGGCGATCGTTCACCATTCGTTCCGCTTCTCTGACCCTGTCTCTTCTCGCCAAATCTTAACTTCCTGCCACCTCTTCAGCGGATCTGTCGCCTATCAGCGAGACCGTCGACCTCATTAACACGTCTAAAGCTATTGTTAACGTCGAGGTCCCACTTATCTCCGACGCCATAACTGAAAAAAGCCAAGGCTTATCTATCGAATTTTTATCATTCGCCCCGGAGATGGGAGGTTGGTCCACCTTCTCCGATGTCGCTCTCAACTTGAAGAACGTATTAAAAGTTTTTATGACTGAAAAAAGAAAGAATAAAGAAACATTTTCTACGTCTTTGTTACAACAGTATATCACCTCCATATTTTTTGCAAACAAATTATTCAATATACCAATTTATTTGTTTAATATTATCCATTTTAGAAAATTTTTATCGACGTTTCTTTATTATATTAAAACCTTGCGACCGTCACAATTCTTTGTATTTTCTTCTACTTTATGTAATTTTTTGTTTTTCTTTTTTCGTCATATTCATTCTTTCAATTGCCTTTTATTTTTTCTTCGGAAGTGGACGTAATCTGGAGTGAGTTATTATGAGCTTGTCCTCGTGCAATTTGATGATTTTTTCATTCAGAATTCCAATCTTCTTCTTCTTCTTCTTCTTCTTCTTCTTCTTCTTTGACTCTCTTCTCGCTTCTTCTTCTTCTTCGACTCCCGCGCTTCTTCTTTGACTCCTTCGCTTCTTCTTCTTCTTCTTCTTCTTCTTTGACTCCCGCGCTTCTTCTTCTTTGACTCTCTGCTTCTTCTTCTTCTTCCCTCGGGTTCTTCTTCTTCTTCTTTGACTCCCCACGCTTCTTCTTTTTTTTCTTCTTTTCCTCTTCTTCTTCTTTTCTACGTCTTCTTCTTCTTTGACTCCTCCTCGCTTCTTCTTCTTCTTCTTCTACGTTTTCTTCTTCTTTGACTCCCACGTCTTCTTTTTTCTTTTTTTTTCTTTGACTCCTCCTTCTTCTTCTTTTTCTTCTTCTTCTTCTTCTTTGACTCCCTCGCTTCTTCTTCTTCTTCTTCTTCTTCTACACGTTTTCTTCTTCTTTGACTCCCACGCTTCTTCTTTTTTTTCTTTTTTTCTTCTTTGACTCCCTCGCTTCTTCTTCTTTTTCTACACGTCTTCTTCTTCTTTGACTCCCTCGCTTCTTCTTCTTCTTCTTCTTCTTCTACACGTTTTCTTCTTCTTTGACTCCCTCGCTTCTTCTTTTTATACACGTCTTCTTCTTCTGTGACCCCCTCGCTTCTTCTTCTTCTTCTTTGACTCCCTCCTTCTTTTCTTCTTTTCTTCTTCTTCTTCTTCTTCTTCTTCTTTTCTTCTTCTTCTTCTGTATTTATGGAGATTGTAATAATACTGTCGTCTGATTTATCAGGCCGTTATCCGAGTAGATTTCGCTACAGACCAAGTGACAGTCATGCCGATAGTAATGGTAATACTAGCCGTTTCCTTTATAAGGTGACATTCCGCATTCATTGATGAGGCACTCAGTATTACTAGAAGTACGTTTTTCTTCGTTCAAATACAAGGCCCAAGATCCACTCAAGATAGAGGTTCACCGAGTGAGATTTTAAGTGTGTGTGGGGGAGGGGAGTGTATGACGAGAACGAGTACGATAGAAATCGGTTGACCCTGAACGTAAAGCGACCAAGATGGTTTGTTTCACAAAGTATCAGCTCTGGGAAAGAATCTGACTCAATGAAAAATATTTTTATCCAAACAGATAGATAGAAAAAATAACATGATTGGTTCTAGTTGTGTACATAATATGGCAGGCCATAGCTCTGAAAATGGCATGGTATGTCCTACTTGGGAACATGGTATGGTGTGACCCAACTCGGAATATGGCATGCTGGGTCCTAGCTGTGAACATGGTATGGTGTGACTCAACTCGGAACATGGCATGGTGGGTCCTAGCACTGAACATGGTATGGTGTGACCTAACACGGAATATGGCATGGTAGGTCCTAGCTGTGAAAATGGTATGGTGTGACTTAACTCGGAACATGGCATGGTGTGTTCTAGCTGTGAACATGGTATGGTGTGACCCAACTCGGAACATGGCATGGTGGGTCCTAGCTGTGAACATGGTATGGTGTGACTTAACACGGAATATGGCATGGTGTGTTCAAGCTGTGAACATGGTATGGTGTGACCTAACAGGGATATGGCATGGTAGGTCCTAGCTGTGAACATGGTATGGTGTGACCTAACACGGAATATGGCATGGTGTGTCCTAGCTGTGAACATGGTATGGTGTGACCCAACTCGTAATATGGCATGGTGGATCCTAGCTGTGAACATGGTATGGTGTGACCCAACTTGTAATATGGCGTGGTGTGTCCTATCT